CTACTGCAAGCCGGGGCTCCCATTGCACCTCGGATGACTTCAGCCGAACGTGACGGTGCAAGGCGGCGAGCCAGTGATGGACGACGCTTCAAATCCAAATTTACGCAACCTGCACTTATGTGCCATGGTCAAAATGGGCACCACACTGGAAATCTATCGTGGTCATCAAAACTTCCCTGAGGGGATCATGACTATCCACATCAACAAAGCATTTAAACCATGTCGTGGGATTATGAGGTTGATCCACAGTAGCTGGCCAGGTTTGAGACTCCCGTAATGCGCGAAGTTTGAAACCTGAGACAGACCCGATCACTTTGGTTTTTGGTTGGGGTTCCCGTGATTTCCCAAGGACGCTGTTTTGAACAGGGGTTCTTTGTGCCATGGTTAAAACAAATGTGTTTTCCAAAACGGGTTGTTGCTGGGCCCACCTCTTATTTGGGTCACAATTATTGATGGAGCCATCCAAGCGCGGCTCCAAGTGTTTAGTTGAGCAAATCAAGTTGGTAGGTGGCAGGCCCTTCCGCGTGGACTTTCGTGGTAAGGGAGTCAACGTTGAAGACAAATTGTCAACAATGTGCTGGGAAGCCCTCGACACATGGATGTGGTGATGGATTGCCAGATAGCTATGGCAAAGTATCCACTTTCTGAATAGCTCCACCCTTAGTCTTGCAGCTGAAACAAGTGCTGTGTGTGCTGAGAATGACCGTGCAAATACACCCAACCTTGAAACCACTTGCTTGGCACAGGAATCTGAGTTTCAGGGCAGTGGTTGCTGTTTGAGACTCGTTCACCAACAGCCACAGCATGAAGCTGTGAAGCAGTGGCCAGCCCCTGCTGAACAGGAATGTTCTCACCATATGTGGCTGTGGCTGAAAAAAAACAGTACCAAAATGGAACCCTAGTAAGTGGAAACACGGATCAAAACCTGCGTAACCCCTCCTATTTAATTTTGAGTCACACCCATGTGTTGCTATATGCGAGGTCATTTTGGGCCACCATCCAACGGGTCACCCAAAATCGCTGAGAAAGCTGAGGGGCGCGTCACCGCCACGGATGCCCGCGCCAGTGTAGCTCCTGCGCAAACACCAGGGGTGCCCGTGTTTGGGTGTCGTTTTTGGAGTTGGTACCCCCTTGTCTTGGTGGTTTCAAGGGGGAAACCCACAGGAAAACCGTTGCTGGGGGTACAATTCAACGACCCTCGCTTTGAATGCTTGAGGGGACCAGCTGACCATGGTGTGGTTGCAGATGTTGCCCCCACCTGTGGTCAACACTAGGCAAGTGTCAACGTTGGCTAGATTCCGGCTGACTGGCTGATCAGGGGGGCTTGCTGTTTTGGTGAGCATTGATCGGGAAAAGCTAGCAAAACAACACACACACACACCCAATACACATACACAGGTCACACCGAGCACAAACAAACAAACATAACAACAAGCACACCAAGAAAACAACATCCTGAACAAACAACTCAACAAAAGACCATCGCTGGCCACCGAAAACGGGTAAGACTAAACAAACAGCTCAACAAAAACCAGGAGTCATGGAGGTGTCTTTCTCTTAAGGGCATTGGAGTTCATTTAAACGTGCCACCAACAAGTAAAATACCCATGTTGCTTGGCCTCCTCAGTTTGGTCATCAAAAGGTGAGCTTGGTAGGTGTATATTTCCGCATGTACCACAGTGAGGCGTCCTTGGCGGGGGTTCTGCCCGTTCTAACACTTGGCCAACGCACGTGGGAGTGTCTCTCGTCACCAGCCGCAACACATCCGTGGCGGGGCTCCGCAAACAAAAGAGAACAGAGTTTATGTATCGAAATCAGGATCTGGACCCCCAAAAAAGTGGTCTTAATTTTGGCTTCCCGTGAAAACGTCTCAAAAGGGTGCCACCACATGCCAGAGTCAAAACTCATTACACGGCTGATCATAGTTCCCTTAACATGAATCATTGAGGATCCTGGCGTGGATGACCATCCCTTCCCGGGGCCGTCCTCAGATCCCCTGCTAACAGTTTGGTTACAAACGAAAACCTATCAACCACCTAACCACCTAAAAACCACAAAAAAAAAACAAAAAACACAAAGTAACAACCACCTAAGAAACCAAAAAAAAACACCTAGCAACCACCTATGTAAAACAGCCACCTAACAACTACCTAACAAATATGCCAACAGCCCCGAACCGGAAATTCGCCATTCAGCACATCGCCCCAAGAAAGAACTTCGCCACCGGCGAATTTTTCGCCCCAAAGAAGCGACCGGCGAACCAAAACGCCGCGGGATCCGCGCACGCGAGCGCGCGGGTCTCATGGAGGTGGCTGCCGAGTCGGCGAAGTAGAAGCCGTGGCCCCAGGCCGTGCCCACCGCGGAGCCCACGTAGGCGATGTCCTGATGGGCGGTCCAGTTTTTGGGGTCCAGTCGAGTAAGGGGGGGGGGGAGTCGACTAGGGAAGGGGGGGGGGTCAGGGGGTGGTGAAATTTTGGGGGGTCGAATGAGGGAGAAGGAG